TTGTCATGTACGATTTCATGCTAGCAAATACTGAGAATACTCAGTTTTCCAACTTTGATTTATAGAAGACACAGAGCGGATATGATCCAACTGGATTATTCTCCTACCTTTATCTTTACCTTTAATAGGCTATTTTGTGTTTAACCCAAGTAATTATGTCATTTTTTAGTGTTTTTAACAACTGGCAAAACAAATTTCACTGTTCACTCTTGTTTGATAGATGACCTTAAAATAATCTTAATTCTTGATTCGTGATCTATTAATACAATCTTTGAGTTTGATCTTGACTGGTGTCATCCGTTTAAGTCTAAAGATTTCGTGTCCTGGGATTAATATTAGGAGGGATACATTGTAGAAGAATCGTTTTATTTTGGAACGCACACCCCTTGGATGTTGTCTTTTGCACTAATGTAAATGTACTTACCCTTACTTGTAAAATACCTACAAGTTGTAATCCGCCAATTTCTCTGTACGGTACCGGTATGAACACGTTATATTTTCATTGCAGATTTTTTGGGCTCAGTATGGACTCTAAACATATGCATTTTCTTTTAGTTTGAGGCGTATGCGGATTTTATAAGTCCGCAATGACAATATAACGTGTTTATGCCTCTTGAATTTGAGTACGTCTACGATGTAGATTTTATTTCTGAAAATGTACCAATCCTTTGAAATATATTGAAGTATATAAAGCCAATACTTAGTGGATTACATTAAACACGTTATAGACGTTTGTCATCGGAAGCACCTAAGATACATTAAAAAAAATGGCCACATGTCATCCTTAATGAAGCCTTGTACAAGATAAGTAAGTCAGCACTTCTATCTGAGAATATTTTAAAATTGAGGTGAAATATATTAGGACATACCGTATATGTAACTCCTACTTGCGTTACAAGACGACCCTCGAGTTTGATAAGATTTTTGGACAATTTTTAATTTAACACCAAAGGCCACACCCAGTTTCCAGAACTCTTTCATCTTCATGCAATCAACCAACCAACCAACCAAATAACCAACCAACCAAATAACCAACCAGACAGCCAGACAGCCAGCCAACCAGACAACCAGCCAGCCAAATTAACAACCAACCAACAAATCAATCAATCAATCAATCAATCAATCAATCAATCAATCAATCAATCAATCAACAAGGATTTATATAGCAATAATATCCACGGCAAAATGAAATGTTCAGTACGCTATGACATTCGTATTTACAGAAAGTGCACATTGACTATGAAGTTAATTTTAATTATTCCATTGGTCTTTTTAATTTTTATTGGTGCATAGAGACAGTTGCTATGCGTCTTACAAATCCATTGATTGATCTTACTTTTTCTATTAACCCTTCTTTTTCTTCAGGCGTTTTCCCAAACGTTTTTAAAAAAAGTTATACCAATTTTCAAAGAAAGGTAGTAATAGTCGAGGGGCTACGAACACCCATATGCCCCCCACTGGTTATACCTATTTTTGTCAGTTACGTGTATAAGCTTTAAAAAACACCTTTTTACCCATTCGATTTCTAGTTGCCAGTGCATGTAAACCAACATAAAAATGGGTACTTTTTTTTGTTCAGTATTAGGATTGATATGGGGTGGGGCAACATTTATTCATACAACTTTTAATCAACAGAATATACTCTCTTGTTTTTAGAATAATACATTTCCTATTATTTGGTATAAAGAAAAATGTAATTACATTGTAAATTATGTCACAGGAGTCAAAAGGTCATTAACCAACGATCAACATGGAATTTCACCCAAAATATATATCAACACTCTCAGTAAAACTAAATGAACAGATAAAAGTTAGTTATAAAGAAACTGGAACATCCTAGCTCCAACCATTACAGAGTGAGTTATGGCTCCGAAAATATGTGAGCGTGTCTATATTATGCATTCACCATGGGATTTTTGATATGAATGAAAAAGCTCTTAACTAGCTTTAAGTAGCAATTATGATGCTGATTATATGATATGAAAAATTTATTTTTTTCAAAATTGTGATACTCAATATGAACTAACGGAGTATAGGCGTGTCAATTTAGTGCATTGAAATTGATTGGGGTTGGGGTTATGCCCACAACTATTTATCAACTGATTATAGTGTGTTGTTATTAGTAGTGTAGAATAGTACAACTTGTATAATTTGGTATAAAGAAAAATGTAATCGCTATGTTAATTAGATCATAGGAGGTCAAAAGGTCATTAGCCAAAGATCAAAATCAAATTCACCCAAACTATATATTAAAACTCTCGACGCAGGGTTCCCGGAACGCCGCCCTAAGCGGCGAGTGTGAAGCACAACTCGGGGTCAAAAATGGAACGTGAAATTTCGATATGGTTTCGTAGTCAAATTTTCGAAAAAAAACTTCAGCTACCCGTATTTCTCGACTGAGACGTCAGTGGGAGCTGTAATTTGTATGGCAAGGAGGTTGTGCAACCCTTAATTCGTTTTAAGGGAACTTACGCCCAGAAACCTTGTAGTTATTAATATTTTGGTTATAATACAAAATATTCATTTTTTGGTGACGTCACACTCACAATATAGTTAGCATGCATACGTCATAAGCTAGATTACGTCACCTTTTCCTGGTAAGGCAAACTTTCCCGACGTGCTTTTTTCATGGATAAACAAACACCACTGCTTTGCACATGGATGCCTTGCCTAGCTAGGACTACAAAAGCCGCATTGTTAACATCGTATAATACTTAAACAAGGTACCTCTGCAACTGAATTACTCTTAGTTATTTGTTTTTTTCCCTTATTTTTAATTTATTTCTTTCGAAAGTGTACTTTCTATCACATATAATTGCACTGCCTAGTTAGGCCTGGGCCTAGGCCTTGTCTTATTGTTATGCCTCATCGTCCCCCTACGCAGTACAACAGTAGCCCCCCCCCCCACATACAGTACAGACGTTTACTAGGCAACAGAACGTGATTGCACCTTCCTTCCCAGGGGTAATTTACATTGGCATATAACTGAACAATTGTGTGTGTTTCTTTGTGAAACTGAGTACCGCGGCGTACTCATTTTCACAAAGCATTTGCATCCCCTCTTGGAAAGAGGGAACTTCGAAATAATTATCTCCATATCTTCGCTAATTAAATTAATCACCGTAATTTAGCTTACACTTATGCATTTAGGGAGCACTTAAAATGTACAATAATCATTCACTACCCGACAAACCCCGAACTTTATTCATGCATTAGGCCTATAGTATATAATAGTTTCATATTGCTGTACTGTGACTCCAACATCACTGGCGCATGGTAACAACCGACTGACTACAGATCATTTCCGTCACACATTACTCTCCATATAACACAGCACCCCCTAGTTCCGTCACCTCTGGATAATATTTTACTTATCCCATTAAAACTAAGTTAACCAAACATACTTAGATAATTCTGATTCTTTTTCGTAAGCTTCATTAAAAAAAAAAAAAATCTTTTTATGGTTGTTAAATCTTGTTTCGAATTGTCCACATTGGTCATGCCGAGGTACGCTTTTGCCGAATCACCAGTTAAGATCTCGGCTGAGTATACTACTGATGACGCAAGACATACCCCTCAATGGACATCCGGGTTTGTTGCGGCAATTACATTACATTGTTCACAATTTCGTTTCGGGGATTTAATATATTTTTATTATGTTTGATAATGATGTTTTTCATGTACAGCTATAGAAGCCAATAGGATAATTTTATAAATGAAAATAATACTAAAAATAATAATAATAAATATAGTAATAATAATAGTATATATATTCATACCATTTATTAAAATTAAAATCCATTAATCATTACGGCCTGGGCAGTCTTTTGGATTAAATTTGTTCAAAAATTTTATTTGCTTTGTTGAATTGATGTTTCTATATGATGTGATTTGTGCTTTTACTTTATTTCTATGTCTGTTGTTTATCTTTCTTTAAACTCTTTTAACATTATATTGTTGTGCTTAATATATTATCATATATATATTATATATATAAGATGTGTATAAGAGACAGATTTTAACTACTTGACAGTGATTTTTTTTTGGGGTAGACTGGGGCGAGCGAGTAATTTTTTGGGGAGGTGAGCCCACCTCGCCCTCCCCTAGATACGCCACTGTTTATTCATCATAAGAAACTCTGAGATTGGAAGGCAAGCATCATACCACCAAGCTAATCAATTTTAATCCAAACTTTCTTGTTAATATTGACACAACGACCATACATGTATATATAACTTATATTATTCATCAGCGTAACTGATCTACAGTACATTGCATAAAGCTAAGTAATATAATATACACAATAAAGGTGATAGTTATTTCTATCAATAGGCGTCTAATTAAGAGATTAACAATGAAACTATAGAGCGTACGGTATGTAATGAGTATCATTCTCAAGTGTACAGATAAATAGCAAGGATTATAATATAAACATGTATTATAGTGATATGTATCAAGATCAGTATCAGGCTAAAAGTAGAAATACAATGAATAGTACTCCAGCGTCGCGACATGCCGACGTTGGTACGAGTAGGTTAGTCTACAAACGTCGCCTAAAGTAATTGATTTTACCCGGCAGAACGAAAGAAGGAAACTCCGCTTTTCAGTTGTCTTAGGCGATAGTTTTTTGACAAACAATGACCTTTCAGAGGTGAAATTGCTGTCCAGAATATGAATTGGCTGCTTCGCAGCAATAATATACATTATATTATTATTATCGCGAGTTTTGAAATATATTTTATGTGAATTCAATTTTGATCTTTGCTTAATGATCTTTGACCTCCTGGGATATAAGTAACTGTGTAACTAAATTGTTCTTTATACCAAATAATAAGGGGTGTACTATTCTACACTTTATTACTACTGTCAGCACACTGAGGGCGTGTAGCCAGCAATATCGTCGATCAAATGCACTCTATTAAAGTGTACTAAATTGAATAAAATATCATCAATCTACGAAAATGATATCTCTAGAACAGTGGAGAATTGTAATAGGATGCCATTGTGGCGGTCGATATAAAAAGAAAAAGACCATGATAAGAGGAATTCAGATACCAAAATGTACAGCGTGCCTGATTCGAATTACCGCCATTTTTGTATTGTGCATAACGCTAGCAGGTGACGTTGAGTCCAACCCTGGACAGAAAACGAGACAAACAAACAGCGGTAGACAGCGGTGAAGCGGCTCAAACTAATAGTACGTTGGATTCCATTCTTCAACAGGTAAATGAAATGAAGAAAGAAATGAATACTAGTTTCTTAAATATTAACGATAGATTTGAAGAAATAACAAATAGAATAGACGAGGTAAATGATAAATTAGGTGCAAAAATTGAACAAAGTATCGACAAGCTGGATCAAAAGGTTACTCTAATTGATAGTGAAATTGTATCAATAAATGACGGTCTATTATTAACATGAAGGAAAAATAGACAACTTAGAACAAGAAAACAAAGAATTTAAAGATATAAACAAGCGCCTGATACAAAAAATGGATAACATGGAGTGTCAATGTAGACGGAGTAACCTTATTTTTTACGGATTTGATGAAGCAGTTAATGAATCGTGGTCGGATTGTGAAAAACATGTCAAAACACACATAAAGAAAATGGGAATCAGTGAATAGATAAAGATAGAGCGTGCACATAGATTAAAAACACAACTAAAGCCAAGGCCTATAATAGTAAAATTCGATCAATTTAAACAGAAAGAAAGGGTGTTAAAGAAAGCTAAATAAATAAAAAAAGAAAGGAGTCAACCGAATGCCAGTGATAGAATTAATAACATAGGAATAGGAGAAGACTTTTCGTATAGAGTCAGGATTATAAGAAAACACCTTATTAAGCGTATTAAAGAAGAACAACAGACAGGAAAACGATGTAGACTATTCTTTGATAAAGCAGTAATAGATGATGACATAATAACGTATGACATTGAAAAAGAAAATTATGTAATATTCAAGAAGAAATAGGAAAATGGCCACGGCTCAAAACAAGCTACAAATGATCACAATAATGACAAACAAGAAGACAACAGAACATTGCGTATTATGGCTTGGAATATAAATGACTTATTAAATAAAATGTGTGATAATGAATTTATTGAATACTTAAGTAATTTTGATATAATATGTTTAACTGAGACTTGGTCAAAATATACAGAAGATCTTTATTTGAAGGGTTACAATAACTTTAGCAAAATCAGTCATAAAAAAATAATGTGGGCGGAAGAATGACAGGTGGCATTATTGCATATATTAAATCATTTTTAAAAGTGCATGAGCTTCCTAGTCAGTCTGACAAGATTATTTGGTTAAATATATACATGGGCAATAAAAGACACATCATCATAGCTATTGTTTATAGACCACCAGAGCGTTCGCATTACTCAACTAACAATATCTACAATATTCTATCAAATGAATTTTATGTTTATAAAAATATGTATGGTGATAATATTTTCATAGTAGGGGATTTTAATGGTAGAACCGGTTGTGCAGATGATTTCATTCGTAACGACACTTGTCCTGATAATTGGGATAACTTATTATATATTGAAGATGATCTTATAGAACCTAGAATTAGTGATGATTTGATTATTAATCCCTATGTTAGAGAATTACTAGACTTTTGTAAAGAGTCAGGATTAAGAATTATAAATGGCAGATAAATTCCAATCATACTAAGCATTTTACTTTTATTAGTCATCAAGGCAGAAGCGTTGTTGATTATATTATGACTCTATATGAGATAATTGGGATAACGAATTATATATCGAAGATGATCTTATAGAACTTAGAATTAGTGATGATTTGATTATTAATCCCTATGGTAGAGAATTACTAGACTTTTGTAAAGAGTCAGGATTAAGAATTATAAATGGCAGATAAATTCCAATCATACTAAGCATTTTACTTTTATTAGTCATCAAGGCAGAAGCGTTTTGATTATATTATGACTCTATATGAGAATTTTAAAAATGTTAATGATGCTTATGTTGATGATCGAATTGAATCAGATCATATGCCTATTGTTTTTCAAATTTTATTTGATATCACACCGCAGAATAATAATCAACACGCATCTGTTTCTGTTAATAAGCAAAAGCGTTTTGATTGGTCTGATGCATATTTACGTACTTTCAATTTAAGGTGGAATCATCGCTTAATTAATGACCTGAAACAAACTATTATTTTTTTTTTTCATGTAACATAGAGAGTGCCGTTTCTTCATTTTGCAATTTATTTGATCACGTATGTAAAGGTATTTCCAAACATGGCCCAGATAAAAAACAATGTTAAAAACAACAATAAGTGGTTCGATAAAGAGTGCTTGTTATTAAAACGACATGTCCGACAAATTTTAAATATATTTAGAAAAGATCGTACTCTGCCCATGTTTAATTTTTATAATAAAATGAAAAAAGAATACAAAAAATTACTTAGATCTAAAAAGAAGTCTTATAAAAAAAATGCTCAAAACGAATTTATTAAATCTTTAAATCCCGATAATGGGAGATTGTTTTGGTCTAAACTAAAAAACAAATGTTATGATTCATCCAATGAAATTCCAATTAGCTTATTCTTCGAACATTTTAAAATTTTATTTGAAAACGTTAATATTAATAACAATGATAATTTACAAACTGAAAATTTTCAAGCGGAATTTAATAGAAACTTAAACAATTTAAATAAAAGAAGTATCCGTTGATGAAGTACAACAAGCTTTTAAATTACAAGAGAAAGGAAAGGCACCAGGAATTGATGGATTAATCATTGAAATTTTTATCCACTCACCAGGTTTTGTTATTGATTTAATTACAAAAATTTATAACGTGATATTTAAAACGGGAATATATCCTACCCAATGGGCAACAAGTCTCATCATTCCGATTTACAAAAAGGGTAACAAAAATAATCCCAGTAATTATAGGGATATTTTATTGATTCCACTACTTGGTAAGGTTTTTCTTTATATAATAAATATTAGATTAAATAATTGGGCAGAAGATAATAATTTATTTCATCAGGAACAAGCAGGTTTCAGGAAGGGTCATCGGGCCATGGATAATGTTTTTATTTTAAACACAATAATTCATAAATATTTATCAAATAAACGAGGAAGAGTATATGTTGCCTTTATTGATTTAAAAAGAGTCTTTGATTCAATTGATATCAGTTTCTTATATTTAAATTAAAGAAAGATGGTTTAAAACAAAATATACTTAACATTATTATTTCAATGTATGACAAACTTTCTGCCCATGTAAAAGTTGGAAGTATTATCAGTAATCAATTCAGATGTTTAATTGGTATTCAACAAGGGCCACCTCTATCCTCTTTTCTTTTTAATTTATTTATTAACGATTTAAGTAAAATATTAAATACGTCGGAACGTACACATAAAATTCAAATTGGCGATTTTCTCATTAACCATTTACTTTATGCAGACGACCTTGTTCTTATGAATGACACTGTTTTTGGTTTGCAATCTTCTTTAAACAAATTGGCTGTCTATTGTCATAAATGGGGTCTTACTGTTAATATTGAAAAAAAATAATGTTGTCGTTTTTAAAAATGGGGGAAAATTTTAAAAAATAGAAAAATGGTATTATAAAGATGTTTTATTAAAAGTAGTTAAATCTTACAATTATGTTGGTGTAGTGTTTAATTCAAATGGCACATGGACGAATGCAATTAGTTATAACTGTACAAAAGCAAACAAAGCTCTTTTTACTTTAAAACGATTAATTCATAACCGATTTGGCAACTTACAAATACATTTGTGGAACAAAATTTTTGATGTAAAAATAGTACCAATATTAATGTATAGCAGTGAGATCTGGGGAATCAATGACATACCAATTATTAAAAAATAATTCACTCTAGGTTTTGCAGATTTATTTTAGGAATAGGCAGCACAGCTCCAACTATTGCAGTTATGGGTGAATGCGGGAGATTTTCACTTTCTGTTGCTGGTATTAGAAATGCTTTACGTTATTTGTTACGTTTAATTAATGCAGATAATAAAAGTTGTATTTACAGTTGTTATAGATTCTAGTTAAGAAGATTACAGTCGAACGATAAATCTTGGTAATACTTTATTAAGGAGAAATTATGTTCAATTTGTTTTGGTATAAATTGGTATGAACAATATGTTGAGAACAATGTTGCTTTTATATCTGAAATAACTACTCGTCTAACTGATATTGAACGTCAAAATTTTCATGAAAAAATCATTTATTTTCCAGACTTAAGTATTATGTGACATTTAAATATAATTTTTCAATCGAACTATATCTAATGCATATACAAAATTTTAATTATAGACGTATTCTCACTAAGTTGGGTTTAGGAGTCCTTGAATTAGAAATTGAAACTGGTAGATGGTCAAAAATTGATAAAAAAGATAGATTATGCAAACATTCTACATTAAATTTAGTTGAAGATGAGTACCATTTTACTTTAACTTGCCCTTGTTACACTGATATTCGTAAACATTATATATTCAAGTATTTTATTGTTAATCCATCCAAAGTTAAGTTTACTCAATTAATGTCCACTACTGATATCAATACAATAAGTTGTTTATGTAAATTTCTTTATCACTCATTTAAACGTAGATGTGATCATTCCCTCTGTAAATAGCAATTATATTTTAATTATATTTTATTTTATTTGAGCCGAAGGCCTTATATAAAAGATGAAATAAATGTCCTTGGCCAGTACGTGCCAAGGAACGGAAACGGAAAATAATAAAATATATTCAGTTTATAAAAAGTTGTGGGCATAAATGTTCCTTCATCCCATATCAAACTTAATGCATTAAATAGACACACCCTTACTCCGTTAGTTCATATTACTAGTTAATTAGGTATCACATTTGTGAAAATTGTGAAAAGTAATTTAATAATACATAATAATAAAGCAGCCACTTCTAAGATACATCACCAGTTTTTAGCATCATAACTGCTATTTAAAGCTAGTTAAGGGATGTTTCATCAATATCAAAATCCAATGGTGAATTGCATAACATAGACACGCCCACATATTTTCGCACCATAAATTAGCAGTGGCTGGAACTAAGATGTTCCAATTTTATTTGCTTCATCTAAATTGTATGTTAATTCAGTTTTAACGTGTGAGAAAAACTATCATTATAAGTTTTAATATATATATTGGGTGAAGTTCGATGTTGATCTTTGGTTGATGGCCTTTTGAATTACATTGTCATTTATACCAAATGATAGGAAATGTATTATTCTACACTTTGATACTAAAATCAAGAAAATATATTTACTGTAGTTGATAATAAATTGTGGGCATAAATGTTACCCCCACCCTATATCAATCTTCCAAACTCTAATGCTGTAAAAAAAAAACAAGTACCTATCTTTGATGTCGGTTTACAGGCACTGACAACCAGAAATCGCTTGGGTAACAAGGAATTTTTTAAAGCTTAGACATAAAAAGATAACTAAAAAATGACGGCAAATGACGGCAGGTATGAAGCAAGGGGTTGCATTTTTTCAGATCCAGTCCCCTGGACTACAAGTATACACTCTTTAACTACAGACTCATCTCTCTACTCAATATTTTCTCTAAAATAATCGAAAAATTAATGTATTCCCGTCTTTTAGCTTTCCATAATTTTTACAACTCACCAATATGGATATTTCGTAAAAAATCATGAAATTATTGACCTAGTAAACAACATAACCTCTTCATTTGAAAACAGAACTTTTTTGTCGGGTTTTATTGATCAAAATTGAGTCAAAACTATTTAAATTGCAGAAAGCAATACGTTTCATTTCGGTATAGCATCTCATCAGTGGAGAAAATGACCTGTGGGGTGGCATAAGGCACGGTTCTTGTGCCTCTCTTACTTTTTTTGTTGACTTGTCTAGGGCCAGTGACATCCTTCAGGTCATTGCTTTTGCTTTTGCTGTTCTCATCCTGACTTAAATTATTTAAACGAAAATGTAAGCAATGAATTAGGAAAAATTTAATGAATGGTTCACCTCATATCAATTTATTATTATATAAAACTAACTAGATTTTTTTTACAAACAAAGTATATTATGTCATTCTACAAATCGGCACATTCTCATAAATAATATAAATATTGAACGAATGTTAAAATAATCAATAATCTTACCTTATATTCATTATTGTAATGTTGTTTGGACTGCTGATTATCCCTCAAAAAAAGGTACTCAAGCATGTCATTATAACTGTTACTTTTTCATCTTATCAAACATCAGGTCTGTTGTTTAAAGCACAAAAGTTGTTCAAAAATTAAAGTTGAACTTATATTCTTAAATTTTTTTTACAATATTCCATTATTTATGATGAGCTTATTCAAAAAATAATTATGGTTGTAATATACGAAGCACTCAAAGTAAATTTCAATGGTTAACGATTCCGTTTGTAAGATTATTATATTTTATTTCTATTTTATACAGTGGATTTTTCAATTGTAAAAAAGGAAAATAAAATAACTTTTCGGAAAAAAAAAACATTATTGATCTTTGTAATCTAACTAAATTTGCGTACATGCTTACTTTACTTGATAGCTTTTCATTTTGCATATAAGTCTCAATTTGCCTATATGAATGCATATTATTATTCATAACAACATAATATAATTCTGATTGTTTTCTTTTCGTTTTTTTTGTTTTTATCATTTCTGATGTATATGTAGGCCTAGTACATGCATAATGCGTGTATACACATACCGGTATTTTTTCTTATAATTTGATTCGTTGATTTAGTTGAATTTTCATTGTTTCGTTTAGGGTCTTACGTGACAAAACATTTCATCTTCTAGTATAGCTCCTTATTTTCGTATTCATTTATGTACATATTGTTGTTTTAACAATAATTCTATTGTGATTATTACTTACCATTATTTGAAATTATTTGCTGATAAATTGTTCCCTCTGAAATTAGAGTTGGTGATGAGATCATAAAGGTTAATGGTCAGGAAATTGCTGGGAAGAACATGGACGGCGTTCTGTCACTATTCAAGGGTAATGCGTCTACCAGTATCTGCATAGTGAGTTTGAATTTAAATTACCGTTACTGTACATTCTATTATGATTTAAATTACATTTTCTGCAATTTTTTGCAAATAAGACTTGATTAGGATGATTATGATTATGAAATAAAAGCATTGCAGCATCAGCCTCAAATATTCGCTGACGAGGGATGCGAGTTCTTCGGTAGAATTTAAACATCTCTTAAGCACCACTACGATAGGGAAAATTCACATTAACGGTAAAGAAAATTGTTTAGATGATTTTTTGCAATTAACACCGGCCTTCTTTATAATATATGTTGAATCATTGCTCTGATGTGTGCATAATGAATTTTCATTCTTCATCATGAAGTCTGACAGATACAGGCGCGGATCCAGGATTTTCCCTGACCTTCGCACAGATGGAATTTGAAATAGAGGGTGCCAAGAGTGGGACTTCGATAGAAAGACACCTCAGCCCCACCATTGTGTGGGCTGAGGTATGAAAAAATAAGATTACGTGGCCTCTAGATGGCCGGAAATGGCACTCTTACGATTAGAATATAATTTTTTCTCCATTCTTTAAAAATTTTTTAATATTTACGGGGGCCCGACCCGATTTATCGTCGGGGACAGTCTTCAGCCGTCGTGAGAAATATTAAACATGTTTAATATTCTACGACGCGACTGCCCCCGATGCAAACCATCGCGTCTGCGTTCAACTCACACAGACCCGACGCGACAAAAAATCGCGTCGGGCTGCGTCGTACGACGCTGTCTGAGTTGGCCTTTACGCTCAGGTGACCTCAGGTGGGGCTTTAAAACAAATGGCTTATTACGGAATTTCTATTAAAAAGTTAACAGATTCTTAAGAGAGAGAAAGAGAGGACTTGATGAATGTTATACAAGATTGCTAGATACGCCTTGAATATCAACTATAAACAACATAATTACAGATATAGTCCTGTATGGAGATATCCTACCACCCCCCCCCCCCACACACCTCCTCAAGAACTTCGAGGGCACGAACGTTAGCTGAACATTGCTAGAGAAGTACAAATGAAGTTATTTCAAGGGTTCCCTTTTAGGAGCCAAACCATGGGGAAAATAAGCAAGGACGGCCCCGACTACATTGAGAAATTAGAAAAGGATCTAAACACACCGTGGCAGTACATTCCACGTATCCGGAGGTGGGGTTGGGGGGGGGTGCTCAGGGTGACTGAGATTTAAAAAAATATATATAAAGTTCCCCCTTTTAAATGTTAAAAAATAACCGACATAAATTGTAAGTATTAAAGTGCCATTCCTGGTGTCTAAAAGTCTCCAATTCTCTAAAATGTTCTCTTCTCAGCCTCAATCATGATAGGGCTCAGGTGGATATAATAAATTTCCTAGTTTTTATGTATTAAAGTGCCATTTCTGGCATCTAAAACTCCCCAATTTTTAAGGTTTTATCACCTCGACCTCAACCATGATGGGGCTCAGGTGGATATAGCAATTTTCGTAGTTTTTATGTATTAAATTGCCATTTTCGGGCATTTGAAAGTCTCAAATTCTTACAATTGTCTTACCTCAGCCCCAACCATGGTGGACTGAGGTGGATGGATTGGTATCAAAGCGCCGTTTTTGGGCACCGATAAAGTCTTAAATTATAAAATTTACTAATCTGTCCACCCCCGTCCAAAAGAATGGCGGGGCTCAGGTAAATATATATCGTAGATTTTGTATTATTCAAGTACTATTTTTGGGCATCTATACCATTCTCAAATTTTTCTCACGTTTTATTTATTTGTTTATACCACACCAACAGCGATATACCGCCACTTACATGGTGGATAAAAATATAACAATAATGAAATAGTAATATTATTATTAATAACAACATTGCAGCCCCATGGGGCTTAGTTGGATTTGCTAGTTTTTTTTTAATTTTAAGTATTTGAATGCCATTTTCGGGTAATATTTAATTAATTCGGTTCGTCAAAAATAAAAGGAATTAAAAGGTAATTTAAGTTCAATTTCCGGGCATCCAGGTATAAAATACTGAAATTTTCACGTCACCGCCAACCACGGTGACGCTGACGTTGGTGTAAACTCAATAAATGTCCTAATGGTAATGTTCATAGTGGTTGTTGGAAAATGCTGAACATTTTATTTTAATTTCTCACCGTGACCTTCGCCTGGGCGAACTGGGCGAAGGTCTGGATCCGCGCCTGAGATACAAATAGATAAGGATGACCTACTATAAATCTATATTCCTTCTAAAATAATGGAAGTAACCTGTATATTTGTTGTCAGGTTATTAAATGTAGAAGAGGTACCGGTAATGAAGAAGATTGTGTGGATGGAGCCAACAGTGACGAACGTGGCACAATTGCATATGATATGGAATGCATGATTACGCCTACTATCCGAAGTAAGCAATCATTATATTTTTACCATTGTAAATGTAATTTTCAACATTTTTGCTTGTGTACTACCACTACTACTACTACCGCTACCACCACCACCACTACCACTACCACTACCACTACCACTACCACTACCACTACTACTACCCAGCACTCTACATACAACGTCTTGACAACACGGTACTTTATAATTTCAAAAAGTAGAAGGGCCCATATATGCTTATTTAGGCCTATATATTAGCCAAGGTTTATAAACTTAGACATATTAGTTGAATATTGTTAAATAATCAAACGATATTGCCCGACATTGTCAAATAAATACAGTCTGCTCAGCCTTAACAATTATCTCTAGGGAGATTACCCACCTCAGTCACTTTCGTTAGCAAAAATACTACTGATGTACAAGGGGTCCCCAATATTCCTTCGCCCCCGGGCCCAATGACTCCTAGTTACACCACTGAGAGTAGGCTAAGCATATTATAAGTAAAGTATTGAATAATTCAATTATCAGCATGTGAGATGGCAGTTAGTGGTTTCAGTTGCCCAGATAAATTATTGTCAGGCAAGACAGACAGACAACCGATGTTTATTTTTGGTAACTTTTACAACGAAGAAGACCAATGTGAGGATCAGCTTTTTTTTGAATGTGAGAACACAAGTGTCGTGGCCAGAAAGGCAGTGGCCAAAGAGGCAGAGGCCAGAAAGAAGCGTAAGTTAGCATAATTTGTAGTTACTGACATTTCCTTTTTAACTATCGTAATCTGACAAGTCTTCTATTTTGTAATATGGTAAGGAGGTAATGATGATGATAATCATCGTTATCATCATTATTATTGTCATCATCATCAACACCACCATCAACAGCACTACCACCACCACCACCACCACCACCATCATCATCATCATCATCATCATCATCATCATCATCATCATCATCATCATCAAAATCATTCTTATCTTCATCATCATCCTGTCAAAATGATTCCAATTAATTTTCCTCGACATTTTGTAACGAAAATCCTGGACGGCGGGACTATATCCTCAGATGCATGGCCCGGAACCAGAGCTGAGACCATGTCCACTTTCTAGTGTCGCCCCTGAATAGGCGCCGCACTGACGTTCTGAAGTTGAATTATTTCACTATGCCGCCCCCTCTTGAATATTAATAATATTATAATCATATGAGCCCATTATGCTTGATATTCTATATTTAAAAAAAACGACTACATGCGATAACATGTCTTGATATGTTGTAGAGAATTTATATATATAAAAAAAACACGATTTTCACGAAATTGATAATAGTATTGGGCTAGATAGGCCTATGCACAGAATTGACATTATTTTAACAATCAAATAAATTATAAAATCGCTGCTCTAGAATAGAGACCTCTTTCGAAAAATCGTAGCATTAGATCCTCTAAAAATTGAAAAGTGCCGCAGCACTATGACCGCATACTGCATTTAAGCACTTTATAAATATATATGCGTTGTAATTTCAGCAGTATGATTTGCTATAATTAGCTCATAGAGACTTTTTTTTGCATGATGCGCTATACAAATCCCATTATTATTACTAATTAATGTTCTTTTTTCTATTCACAGCAACCTTGGTAGTTCATCATTATGTACATTTTGAGAAGTTTGTTCCAAAAAAAATATTGATTATAGAGTGTAATGATAAGTTTATAACAGCAAGCGCCGACAATGAAGTCAAACTAAAAGTAAATAGTCTTCATACATATTTTATACATATACACCTGTCTCTTATACACATCTAGATGTGTATAAGAGACAGGTTGGAATCCATACGACGTGTATGACCTGTCTCTTATACACATCTAGATGTGTATAAGAGACAGTATATATATTGAGGAGTGGGTTTGCATGTATGCTCTAATTGAAATAAAATGTAAAAATTATGAAAAAACGGTGTACAATAATTGAAAGTTGACTTGCGGAACTCAAATTTATTAAACAAAATCAAACGGATATTTCGATAGCTATCCTTATCAACTTTAAAGTGAGAAAACTTTGCAGATCTTAATAAAGAATAATAAATGGTATTAACCAATCGGAACCAGGTTAAAGATATAATCAGTTGATTAGACTACAAATACAAGTTCAGTGACAAGTTAATGAGCGAATTAATTACAATTAAATCATGATAAGATGTCGGCAAATTAGCAATGATTATGATTTAAAAAAAAAGTTTGTAGTCTTATTTTGTAGGTACAGTTTATTGCATGTTTATATATTTTATCAATGATTGTGTAAAAGTGTGCTCCATCTTTTTTTAAACTCTTGTTTGTGCTGCCACTCCAAAGAAAGGCGTTGTTCTCAAAGTAAATAAATATGTCCAAGCGATTGTTTATTGGCGTGCCATTGAACCAGACTTTAGTAAACTACAACAGACAGTAACAGTATGTTACAGAGATAAATTATCTCCGTAACACGTGTTTTCGAGATAAATTATCTTGGTAACACGAAATTCTAAGATAGCCTATCTCGGAAACACGTGTTGCTGAGACATGCTATCTCGGTAACACGTGTTACTGAGATAATTTATTCCAGCAACAAGTGTTACTATGATGCATGTATACAGTATATAATCTTGCACTTGGTCTTTACACTTATGCCATAGGACGGAGAAATTAATAAATTACTCGACTGCGATGGGCGTGCGTTCATTTACCACAAGAATATTGGTCCTGATGACAACATTATGTTAGAATCACTGCAGTATCGAAGTGAGTGGTTCTATTCTATCATCATTATTCTCATAATCAATCATTATCATTTTTTTTTATACTAACGTACATCCTCTTTTTGGGGACAGGCGTTCAAGTTGTTTGTCCCTATGTACAGTATGTCAAGGGCTCGTTTAACACAGGTAGGCAGAATGCGGCCCGCCATGCGGCCCGACAGAGAAATGTTTGCGGCTCGCGAAATGAATTAAAAAATCTATGTTTGCGGCCCACCAGCAGTATATTTCCCCATACAGTCAAGGCAGGAATTATAGAGGGCGCTATTTAAGGTCATTTATGTGAACTGATAACATGAATATATGCATGGTTCTCGCTCGCGAGTCGCGAAAGCAGCGGACGTTGCTAGTGGATGAAAGAATATGAAAGCTACGGCGTATAGTACAGTAGCGTTAGGGTATAGTAGGCCAAAATCTCTGGTAGTCGGTCGAGTGTAGCCGACACAGTGAAAATTAATGGAGTTATTGAATTAATAATAATATCCCTATGCCTAGACACTGTTTACGTACAGCATGGTCTTTGAAGTATAAAAAAGCAGCGTTGAATCCGGTCGGTTGAGTAGCAGTAGTGTAAATATCTAGCATACATATTAACTGCTATACCGTAAAACCTCGAATTGACAATGGGCTTGTTCTTAATCTAATTTTCAGAAAAGCTAATAAGATAGAATTTTTAAAATAATTATAATGTTCACTTGCACAAAAGTAAAATGTCTTAAAGTTAAAAAAAAAAAAAAAACAACAATCAAATGAAATGAAATATCAAATGAAAAAGAAACTAAATTAAATACCACGCGATTCGAACTGACGCCCTATGGTTCCTTAGAACCATCGCAAGGAACCTCGAGCCATCCATACGACGTGTATGACAGTGATAATGGCATTAATGTACATTCAGCCGGGAAAAAAGCACACAATTAGCAGGGTACTCCGAGCTCCTTATCGGAGCTAACAAGTGAACCACATGTCTTTTACATAGCCTTTTCTTTGTTAAAATCTGAGTTGAATCTGAGTTATAGCATATTTTGCCCTCAATTTCAATCAGATGCTCGATAGGCCTATACTTAAGAAATTAATATATAAACCCCAGCAACGATTTTTAAGTCGGAAAGTTTTAGTTGTAGGTGTTTGAGCAGAAAACAGCTGTAAACATGATTTAATAGTTATCTGGAGGTCGTGGGTTTGATGCCCACACAAATGTATTCCTTAAACTCAAAAAAAAGATATCAAGTCTACTTGGAATACCATAAATATGCTGATAAAAAAAATCCCCAATAATCAAACAAGTTCCTATTTCAATTGTAACGGCGAACAAACTAACAATCCTGACACGGATGCATCTGCATTCAACGACTACTTCTTTGAAATTGGACCCTATTTAACTAACAAAATTCTTCAAATTAACAAATCCTTTAAGGAATTCTTACCCAACCCTACACATAATTCTATTTTTCTTACCCCTGTTAATGAAGCTGAAGTGGCCTGTGTATTAAACTCCTTTAAAGTCAATCACCCAGTATTGATAATTTTCATACAAAAGTCATTAAACATGTTGTCAAGTTCATCTCTTAACCCCTATGTCATACTTTCAACCTTTCAATTTCCAAGGGTGTCTTTCCAGAATGAAGCTAGCCCGTGTTACACCCCCATTTTAAAATCTGGACCCAAATCTGACCTTTCAAATTATCGCCCTATTTCAATCTTATCAGTCTTCTCAAAAGCCCTTGAAAAAATTATCTATGACAAAACTCTAAAATCTATTACCAAATATAATACTTTTTAGCAGACAATTTGGGTTTAGAAAAGGCTAAAATATATCCCTTGCTCTTATTGACCTCACCAATAAATATGTGGATGCATTTGTGCATTTGATACAATTGACCACAACATCCTTTTATTTAAACTTTCTCAATATGGTATTCGCGGCCCCACCCTCAATTTTTTTTAAAGTTACCTCTCTAACCGTTTACAGCGCACTAAATATTTTAATACTATCTCCCAACTTTCGCCAGATTACTTGTGGTGTCCCCCAGGGATCCTTATTAGGCCCAAATTGAAAATAAAGTATTCAAAGGGTGGGTATCATTTTTAGGTTGTCCTCATTTGTTCCCCTCAACGTTCTTCGTATTCTTTATTGCTCCCCTTTTCTCCCCTATATGAGTTACTGCAATATTGTTTGTGGAAACACCTACTTATTCAACTCTAGTAAACTCTGGCGCTTCCACATGGTCTCATTCTTCTTCTTTATTTTCTATTCTCAATCTTCTAAAATTCGCTGACATCAACTCCCTTCAACAATGTCTATGTATACGCTTCCAATCACTGTATTTTACCAACTCATTTCTATAACATTTTCAAATAGCTCTAATATTCGTATACCCACTCAGAGAACCAATTATTTCCAGCATAACATCAAATTTTCGGGCTCTGAAATTTGGAATTCGTTACCTTCTTAATGCATCTTCCATTACAATTTTTACTAAGCAATTCAAAAAACACTTAAACAGATTGGCAATTTGCTACCTGTCGCGGATTTCGGTCTGTATTCGATTTGTTTTAAATGTTTTGTTTATTTCTTTTTGTGTCTTTCTGTCCTGTGCTGTTTCTTTGGGTAATCTGATTTTTTCTTCATTCCAGGCTGTCCCACCACATGATTAGTTTCTTTTATCATCTGGCCTTCTTCCTTTCACTTGTCTAATAAATTGACCTAATTAATTTTTTGGCATTTACATCTCATTTCAAGGTGCTAAAATTTAGAATGAATTACCAGTTTACTTAAAAACAATTAATAATATTAATACTTTTAAATACAAATTACACTTGTATCTAGTTTCTTTAACCACATGAATTTTTGGTACTTATCTGTTATACTTTTTTTTTTTTTTATTAATGTAGGCCTATATCATATTTTATTATATTATACATTTTGATTTGTCATTTCTTTGAGTTGAGATTTATTTATTGGACACATTCTTATGTTCAGGACCCCACAACTAAAGCTTACAGTGTGGTACCTTTTTCACAATAATCTATTTTTATTTAAAAATTTAATTGTGTTTATATATCATTCCTGATGATGACATAATTAATGTCAAAATATTTATATATATATATATATAATCTGGTTTTTTTGGTGAAATAAATATATAGTTGATTGATTGATTATATATATATGTATATATATATTATATATATATATATATATATATATAAACATATATTGCCTTGGTTTGGCTCTGTAATCATTAGTGGTATATATATATCGGAAAGATCAATGCAAACGGTAAAAGAGTTCTGGAGCTATGTACACTACATAACATGTGTGTAACCAACACATTCTTCAAATCAAAGCCTCAACACAAGGTGTCATGGATGCATCCACGTTCAAAACATTGGCACCAATTAGACCTGATCATTACCAGAAGGAAAACAATCAGTTCTGTTCTTAACACTCGAACATATCACAGTGGTGACTGCAACACTGACCACTCCATTGTTTGCAGTAAAATTAGAATATCACCAATAAAGAAATATCACTTCAAAAGTAAAGTCAGCCCCGCTCTAAATGTTCAAGCAATGAAAGAAACGATAAAGATTCAACAATTTACTAGTAAAGTCTCCAAATCACTTAAAAAAAAACCATATCTGGTCTGGCCGTAGAAGATAGTTGGGAACATTTAAGAGGATCCTTGTATGAAAGTGCTTTAAATGTTTTTGGAAAACGGAAGCGGAACATTCTGGTGCCATACCAGCTGTGAAAATAAACATAGCCAAGAAAATGGCAAGAAAATGTGCAAATGAATACTGGACAGAACTATGTGAGAGAGTTGAACTTGCAGCAGCAACAGGAAATATTAGAGTATAGGAATCAAACAGGCAGTGGGTCCTTCAGTTAGAAAGACAGTAGCTGTCAAATCAAAAGATGGAAGGTGTATAGTGGAAAAAGACAAGCAAATGGATAGATGGGTCGAGCACTTCTCTGAACTATACTCTACAGAAAATTTTGTAAGTGACACTGCACTAAACGCACTACCAAAAATACCAACTATGGAAGAGGTTGATAGCTTACCAACCGTTGATGAACTCATCAAGGCTATAGACTGCCTAACTACGAGAAAATCACCAGGAAGTGATGGACTTCCACCTGAACTGTTCAAATATTGCAAGCATTCAATTATCAAGGAACTTCACTCTCATCTGTAAATGCTGGGAAGTAGGAGCTGTGCCGCAGGCATAGAGAGATGCAGCTATGGTCACACTATATAAGAACAAAGGGGACAGAGGTGATTGTAACAACTACCGCAGTATCTCTCTCCTCAACGTTGCTGGTAAGATCTGTGCTCGTGTTGCTCTAGCTCGCCTCGAAGTTATAGCTGAAAGCATCTATCCCGAGTCCAATGTGGATTTCGTTCCAACAGATCCACAATTGACATGATCTTCTCCTTACGGCAAATACAGGAAAAGTGCAGGGAACAGAATCGGCCTCTTGTTATCACTTTTATAGATCTCACTAAAGCTTTCTCAGTCTGTTCAAGATATTAAGAAGGTTTGGGTGCCCACCAAAATTCCTAAATATCATAAAATCTTTCCATGATAACATGAAGGCAACCATTCACATTGATGGTGAAAAGTCTGACACATTTAATGTAAAGAGTGGATCGAAACAAGGTGATGTCTTTGCACTTATGTTATTCGGTATATTCTTTGCAGCATTACTCAAATATGCCTTTGGATCATCAACTGAGGGAGTCCACCTGCATTCAAGGAGTGATGGAAGGTTGTTCAATCTTGCAAGGTTGAAAACCAGGACCAAAACACGTGCTGTCACAGTTAGAAATTTGTTGTTTGCAGATGATGCTGCATTCATTGCACACTCAGTGGCACACATGCAAAAGCTTGTTGATCGTTTTTCTGAAGCCTGCAAGGAGTTTTCTGTTACCATTAGTTTAAAGAAAACTAAGGTAATGTTTCAAGATCTCCAACCTAATACCTCCATCAAAATTGATACATATTCGTTACAGAATGTGGAAGAATTTACTTACTTGGGTTCTACAGTAACAAGTAACCTTTCAATTGATAAAGAAATCAACCAACGTATTGGAAAATCAGCTACAACATTCTCCAGATTGAACAACCGTGTATGGAAAAACAGTCTCCTCTTAACAAAAACCAAGATATCAGTATATAATGCATGCGTCATCAGCACCTTGCTTTATGGTAGTGAGAGTTGAACAGTTTATGCAATGCATGAGAAAAGGTTGAACACCTTCCACATGAGAAATCTAAGGCGGATCCTAAATATCACTTGGGAAAATAAAGTTACCAACGTTGAAGTGCTATCAAGAACAGGCCTCACAACTGTACAGTCTATGCTGAAAAAGAGGAGATTACGATGATTGGTCATATGAGAGGAATGCCAGATGGTAGAATCCCCAAAGATATACAGTACTATATGGAGAACTAGCACAAGGAAAGAGAGAGAGAGGAAGACCAAAACTCAGATATAAAGATTTTGTGAAAAGATATATTAAGGCAGTCAACATCCCTGAATATAGTTTGGAAAATATTGCTGAAAATAGATGTGCTTGGAGGAACGCTGTCTACATTGGGCTTCAAAATTATGTTGAACATGAAACCCAATTGGCAAATGAAAAGAGAGCGAAACGCAAGAACGTAAGCGTGCACTATGAACCAGCAGATGCTCCTGAATACCCTTGTGCCACATGTGGTAGAAAATGCAAGTCACGGATAAGTCTATTTAGCCACAGCAAGAAATGTACCCGATGAGAAAAAAAAGAAAGAAAGAAAAAAATTAATTTGTTGTTACCTTGGTAGCAATGAAACAGGCATAATTATCCATAATCAACTTTGACTGACGGAGACCATGATGATTATCTCCCATCATATTATACTAACTTACCAACAAATGAAAAATATTATCATGAAAATCTTCGATGTGGTACACACCAACGACAACCCACGAAAATCCTGAGACTTATTTCGAGTGGGTCCTTCTGGTGGTGATTGGGCAGTACACCGGGAGACAATCCCTACTATTGCCCGAAGAGTGTACTGCGTTCTTCAACGTGCACATGTGCCATTTTGCACACGGGACCAGCGGCTTAAACGTCTCATCCGAAAGACGGTGCGCTTTTGTGTTGCAGCCCTCTAGCTCAAATACAAGGAGAGCAGCGATAGGAATTTAACCGGGGACCCGAACCGGGGACACATGTTAAGCGCACACACAGTGACTACCATCAATTTAGCCGACTGGGCTAGCTGCTCTCTATGGTGACTTCATACAATATGTGAAAAGACAAAATAACATAAAAACACCAAAATTGTTATTTTTTTCAGATCGTTATCTTGGATTTGATAGTCCTAAAGTTAAAATGATACCTCTTGAAAACTGGGAATCGGCTACAGCTAAAAAATGCCGATTGAAGTTCTCAGATGAATAAAAATGATGATCACGCAGTATGATAACGCCAATAGATCAAACTACCATGATGACCTAATGATGACGTAATCAGGACTCATTGCTAGATATACATTATGAAAAAGTTTGTCCATCTTAATAAGTAATATGTCACTTTTTACATTAGGAATTATATTAATTTTGGAATTTTGTGAGTATCTTGAAACAGCTAATTAGGACATGTTATATAATTAACCTCATCAAGAGTTTGAAATAGACCTCTGAAAATCGTTTTTGTATCATTAACATGATTTTCGCAGTTCTTTAGAAAATTTATAGTGATGTCAAAACGTATTTCACATTGGTATAGGCCTTGTTATGAATCAGTATGTTGATTATTAGCTAAGGATGATTATTGGTCACATTGATAGATGATGATAAAATAATTCGTCGATTTAATTAATAATCAAATAATTTTAATCAAAATTAATTTTATATGCTATATTATTTAGTTAATTTGGGTAAGTTTCTAGAGGTAAACCAGGTCCTGCTATACTTTATAATTTTAATAATCAAGTTTTGTCTTTTTTTAAAGGCCTACTCAAAATTGTTTCTGAAGCATGAGCAGATTATACAGGCCTATCAGGTGCAGGACCAGTAGGAGGCACGGGGGCACGTTCCCCCTTCCGTTTTGACACTAATTTTTAAAATTTCAATGCATATCAGTGTTATGTGTTACCACTTATCTATTCTGAAACTTTTGTGCCCCCACCCCCCGTTAAAAAAAAATACTGGTCCGCTTCCGCCTACAGAAAATTTGAAAATACCTAATCTTATCTTCACTCTGATATATGCATTATTATGAATCAATGTACATATACTAGCTGTTAGCTGTTTTCATAAAACAGACAAGTACGGTAATTGATACAAAATACTAGCTAAGATACAAGTTAACCTTATTGTCAAATTCATTGAAAAAATTGTTGTACTTATTCTGTGGAATCATTTATAAATATATATGTGATAAATAGTTAAGTATGTAATTCGTAGTAAATTCTTAATACATTTTGATTGGCATGGATTTTGATTAAATTAATAAATTACAGGCTATATACAATGCTGAATATCCCAAACGGCTTGTGGACAGTTTTTGTTTTTTTCAATTTCTAAATTTGATTTTAATATAGCATAAAGCTATTATAAAGGATATCAACATTTTTAAAGAACTCACCAATAAAATCTCCTCACCTTTCGTACTCTTCAATATTATGTTATGATAATATAATTGCACCATTTTGTTCTCCTGTACGCTTTTGTTTATTTTGTTATTTTGTGTGCGTCTGTTTGTCTTCTTTTTGTCTATTTTCCGGAACTATTGCATAATTTGTTGAAATTTTTCGGGCCACGCTTGCTACAAGTGTCATGAGAGAATTCTTTTTTTATTATTGAATTTTCCTTTTAGAGCACTTCCCACTTTCGTTAATCAAATCCGTTTATTCCAATTTTTGTGGCCTATTTCGATCTTTTTTTAATGTTACAACATTTTGATTTCAGTGTTTGATTGTAAGATTTGGAAGAAATAAATATATATTTGATTGACTGACTGACTTTTTTTTTAAATTATTAATTTGAATGAGCTGAAATGTAACATTGTTCGTCTTAAGGTCAATTATCTTATGTAACTTTGATTAAATAAATTACAAACTACAGTATGTACATTATTAAGTATCTCAAAGGGTTTGTGGACATATTTGTTGTTTAAGTTTAAATATTCATTGTAATTTAAATGAGCTAAATTGTAAAACATCGAAATAACATAGTTTGAAAAACTACCTTTTTTAAATCTATGTTTAACTTTGGAGTAGAGCTGTACCTTCGTCGTAGCGTAGTTTATAACATCGATCACTTTTGTTCTTGAACAATTTATTGGCCTCCTGTATTTTAGCTTAATGATAGTTCAAAAGTTTGCCATGCAACCTCTTTATCGTTTTATCCTGTCTACATAAATTTGTAATCAACTTTTTGCAAATAATAATAACAATAATACTTTTATTTGTAATTCTAAAATTGATTTTCAATTTGTATTTTTTAAATTCAAATTTATATCTATTTGTAATATAAATTAATCATTTTAATTTCAATTTCAATATTTAATTAGTAATTATTTTACGTTTATTTTCAAATATAAAATGCTATTTTTGTAACTATTTGTAATTAAATAATTATAAATGATGATAATAGTGGTAATAATAAATATTTTATACTAATATATATTATTTTTGTATGATTATTATGAATTATTTTTTTTGTAAACTTTTCTTGTTCTCTTTATAAAATTATTAGCAATGATAATTTGTGTGTGTCTGGATTTGCTGTATCTGCTTTTTGATCGTTTCTTCAACTGTCTCTCTTCTGGATATGAATGTTTATTTTTGTACATTTTTTCATGTTTTGTAGTTAAGTATCTTAATCATTCGTATGTTTGCATTGCATTGGTTTTGTGAACTCACTAGCTTGCCCTCTGGGATTGTTGTGAGATTGTTATACTGTATACTAAATAAAAAAATGATGATACTATGAGTTTTACTGATTTTTCCCTGCATTCAACAATTTTTGCCTATACAGTAGTCTCTTTGGCCTATACAGTAGTCTTTTTGAAAATCCAAAATTTAAATATACAGTACACAACTCAAAATAGATATTAAGTCAGGTTTATCACAGATAACGGTTACAAAAAGTAAGAAAGTCACAAGGATGTGCGTTCTATCTTTTCAGTATATTATTTATTTCTAGTGAAGAACATGAGAAGAAAGTGCTAAAAAATTGTTTTTTTTTTCTTAGACATCGTTGCAAGCTGGCAACAAGGTTTAAAATTTGACATTTTTGCGAGATATGACTTTTGACATACTAAAATGGATAATGCCAAAAAAGTAAAAAAATATGTTTTTTTTACAATATTTTGGTCACAAGATTAATATAATGTGTCATCATATACATCATTCAATAGATATTTTTTATCTTTTATATGATATCAAAACATTACAATTGAATCTTTCAGTAACGGACTAGCTACAAAATACAATTTTGGGGAAAACATTTGTCATTTTTTTGCCAAATTTTGCACTAAAATCCAAAATTCAAAGTGGCAACAGCCCATTCCGTGTGAGATAAGGCCTGGTGATGTATCAGTATTTGAGAAAGCATCAGGTAAAAAGTTTTTAGCTTAACGAAACTTAGACATCGTTGCAAGCTGGCAACAAGGTTTAAAATTTGACATTTTTGCGAGATATGACTTTTGACATACTAAAATGGATAATGCCAAAAAAGTAAAAAAATATGTTTTTTTTACAATATTTTGGTCACAAGATTAATATAATGTGTCATCATATACATCATTCAATAGATATTTTTTATCTTTTATATGATATCAAAACATTACAATTGAATCTTTCAGTAACGGACTAGCTACAAAATACAATTTTGGGGAAAACATTTGTCATTTTTTTGCCAAATTTTGCACTAAAATCCAAAATTCAAAGTGGCAACAGCCCATTCCGTGTGAGATAAGGCCTGGTGATGTATCAGTTTTTGAGAAAGCATCAGGTAAAAAGTTTTTAGCTTAACGAAAAAATTTGCTGGTACTTTTTTGGTCACAAGATTAACATAATGTGTCATCATACACATAATTTTATAGATAATATTAATAGCTTTCGTATGATACCAAATGTATTCAAATATTTTAGTAACATACTAGCTTCAAAATAATATTTTGGGGGTAATATTTTTGCAGCAGATGAGCATACTGTATAACTCCAAAATACAAAAAGGAAAATCTCTGAAATTTTTTTAGTTATATTTTATTGTTAGCTTAGTATTTTTCGTATTTATTTAATTAAAAAATATATATAAATTTAATAATACGTTTTGTTGGTAAATTTTGGGTAGCAGAATTACCATAACGTGTCATACACATCGTTCGATAGATAATTGTACAAGCTTTCGTATGATATCAAATATACTTACATTAAATCTTCCAGCGACGGACTAGCTGCAAAAAACGTAAAAATGTGTAATATTTGCCATTTATTTGGTCAAAATTGGCACTTAAATCTAAAATTCATAGATCAATTCTGTACATTGGGCCTACGGTTTATAGTTCTTATCCGAGAAGACTTGTTCCACCTCCAGAACCATAGGCAAGTGTGCCATTCAAACCACCGCCGATATTATGGCTGTAGGTTGTGGCGCCCTTCCTTAATTGCTCGGCCATTCGACTTGCAAATGTTGCCTACTAAAAAATGCTGAGCACTTCCAATCTGATGGCCACTCGTCTATATTGCAAATATACTTTTTGAAATTATAACTTGACTAGATTGGTTGTTACGTCATTTGGTTCTTGCATATAGCGGCGTCGGTGGCCAATGAACAATTCAGCCATTATAATAAAGATCCGGGTCTGCTCCCAAAAAGTGGGTGATTAAAAGTTATAATATTAGAATGACAGTTTTCTGTTATGATTTCCGAAGCCTCCTCAGTCCTACCACCCTCCCATCTTTAAAAGAGTTATGCAACTTATATTATTTTATTGATAAAACATATGTCCCCTCATTCAAACCCAAGTCCTTCAGATTTCATTTCATTTATTTATTCGAACAAACAATAAAACAAATGGTCAGGAAAAACTAAAGCGACGAAAGTCACTATGACTCAGGAGTCAGTAATTCGAACATAAAATAAATCTATATATTATATACAAGAAATAAAATACAAATAAAATAAGACAAAATGGATAATAGTCATTAAAATGAAAGTTAAAATTAAAATTAAAATTAAAATTACTTTTCGGATACTTTTTTTTCCCATTCAGATCATAGATATATTTACATGTAGATTCGAGAAATTGGATAATAGGATCATAACACATACTCAAAATGATTGGTGATAGTGGGTAGCACTGGAAGTTGCCTTTGCCAAATCTGAATTCTCTGAATGACCAAGATTTGGTCGTTTATCATTATGAAGATAGCTTTTAGATATCAGTCAAATACCTTTTCTTTTCGCTTTTTTAGCTACTTTGTCCAATTAGGGAGAGCATTATATATATATATATATACTGTCTCTTATACACATCTCAGTAGTCTTTTTGAAAATCCAAAATTTAAATATACAGTACACAACTCAAAATAGATATTAAGTCAGGTTTATCACAGATAACGGTTACAAAAAGTAAGAAAGTCACAAGGATGTGCGTTCTATCTTTTCAGTATATTATTTATTTCTAGTGAAGAACATGAGAAGAAAGTGCTAAAAAATTGGGTTTTTTTTCTTAGACATCGTTGCAAGCTGGCAACAAGCAACGTTAAAGTGAGAAAACTTGGGAGATCTTACATATACATAAAGAATAATAAACCAATCAGAATCAAGTTATCAATACAATTAGTTGATTGGACCACAAAATATAAGTTCAGTGACAAGTTAATGTGCGAATTAATAACTGTACAATTAAACCGTGATAAGATGTCGGCAAAATGATTATGTAAGCGATAGTTTATTGGCGGTGCCATTGAACCAGCTTAATGCTAAGACTTATTTAACTACAGTAAACAATAACAGGAAATAAAACATAGTAAGATTAATAAGGTCCTATATAATTAAAACAATTGTGGAATAGAAAATAAATAGCAGAAATATAAGGTATAATATGTATGAGTTTAAATAATATAGCGCATGATATCATGATGACAAATAAAATACAGTTTAGAAATCAATGAATATAAAAAAATGTACATAAGTAGAAATAACATATAGCATATATAGTTAGATACTGTATTCATAGAGAAATATTGCGTATGAAGGCATAATCACATGTAGAGCCTCAGTCCTTATTTAGACCCTTAATGTGAGTTTTTAACCGGATTATCCATTTCATTTCTGCGTTACGTCGTACTTGTGTTGATTTAAAATTGCAACCTATTATTATAGCCCTAAAGTCATTGCTGGTGTGATTAGGTGAATTAAAATGTAAACTTACTGGGCAGTTGAGTTTGTGTCTTATAGATGATTTGTGGTTGTTCATTCTAGATCTGAAAGTTAGACCAGTTTCGCCAACATAGTTTCTCTCGTTGCATTTGTTGCAGTATATGAGGTATAAATAATAATATTGGGCGAGTTACAATTCAGTACTGGTGGCCGGATTGTTGTTTGTGTTCCTGGAGTAAATGAGCTGTCAGTATTGATGATGTTGCATAATTGACATCTAGAGCTGTTACATTGTGTGTTGCCATGTATCGGTTTAGTGGAGGGGAGTTTAGATGAGGTTAAAGTGGACTTTACATTAGGGGGTTGCCTACGTGCTAGTAGAGGGGGCTGTAAAAATAATTCTTTAATCGATGGGTCTTCTTGGAGGGAGAGGAAGTCTCTTTTAATTATCTTAGACAGTTGCAGGATGCTGGGCTATAATCAAATACCATAGGTAGCCGATCATTGTTAAATTTAGGTCTATATGTGAGAAGATCAGTGCGAGATTTACGTGAGGCCTTTTTTAATCTGGGTTTTTATTACATTTAATGGGTAGTTACTTGACATGAACTTGCCACATAGTATGTGTTTGTTATAGTCGGATGGACATGAGCAAATGAACTCACCTGGTTTTCCTAGATAAGGCAATCTAACGCAAATCTTAATCAAGCTATCATCAGTAGGCCTATGTATACATTTAGGTTCATTAATAAACTTCAAACAGAGCTTAGTAACATCAGGAAGTTTATGTCTTGGAATGGGTACCCTTTAAAAGTTGTTAATAATGTACTTAAGAAATTAAATGAACCTAAATGTATACATAGGCCTACTGATGATAGC